TTCCACGGCAACCTGATTGTTAGAATCCTTTCATGAATTGAACGATATTTCGCTAATCGAATGTGCCCAGTAGGGAACTCAGGAGTTGGAGAGTTGGGTTGAGAGCATTTCATCGCGCTAAGTTGAGCCGAACTCTCCATAGCGACTCCATCGTCATACGTCTTTCCTAGATTTCGACTGTGTGGACAGTCTTTGTTTGAATGTTCCTCTCCGAAGGCTAATGAGGGCGAAGACACCCAGCACTGTGCCTATCTTATCGGAATTACTGGGTGTCTCTGCCCACACAACCAGCGTGGAGCATGTATTCAAAGGCGGTGGGCACAGTTGCTGTACCTTGTTGCCAACAACACTAGTGGAAGGGCTGCGGGAGGGCGTTTGACCATCTCCATTTATCCTTTCCCCCAATGACGTCGCGATAACCGCCCACCCACAGCGATCATGTCCACTGTGTCTGAACCTGTCGATAATAATGGTAGTATGTTTCCGAAAACAGCGAAGAAACCTTTCTGCCTCACAAATTATGTAGGTTCCAGCTCACCGAGGAAAAGAATTCATATGCTATAGAAGGGCTGTTCAAAAAAACCGAGGGTTTTGCCTTCACTGTTTTGATTAGGCAAGGTAAAAATCCTCATAGTCCAACAGAAGAGTATTGTCTAGTACAACCTTATAATCTGACCAAGTTATTGCAGGACGCGAGCTGGCTCGTACGGAATCCAAGAATACGGTGCAGTATTCGTGAAAGCGGTACATGGATGCTTCAGCAACGTGGTCGGCTTACCAATATACAGGGTCCATAGTGCTTTAGTCGCTAAAGGGATCCTATAGGTTTCACCACAGCCTTAGTTTGTTAATGTCGTGATTGCTCATTTGTTAAGAATGTAAGTTTTTGAAGAACTGTTTCCGTGATTGAAGCAATAAATAAGCATCTGAAGTGAACCGGAAATGAAACAATTTTTATCAGTCGCAATTACCTTAAATGGGGTTGGAGGGTAGTGATACCCGGGTGCTGTCTCCATACTCCGCCCACGCAGCCACCCACATGCCTGACCATAGCCAAACGCGCTACTTATCTGAACCCTCTCACTTTTGGTTGTTCTCCATCGCTGAGTGCGTGATTCGCTGCGGGATCTTGGCATCGACGCCAGTGCTGGATATTATGGGCGGCGTGGGCGGAACATGGCTACGGTACTAGGGTACTGTAGTTGCGCACCCATTCACTCGCACATAGTAATTCCACAAGTTACTAGTGTCTATTTATTAACTTGTCGGAAAGCGGCCGACGAGTTAATAATCGCTTACTGAAGGCCCTTGTCTTGCGATTCCATCCAATGCCGCGTTCATACTTCGTGATCCGAGCGGTGGTTGCGCGCGACTAGCGCGCATCATACATAGAAGGCGCCGTGCGTGAAGCGCGCGAGAGTCGCGATTAAGTCTACTGTACGTGAGCTCCGTTGACTCGGATCGCGCGATCAGGTGATCGGATCGCGAAGTATGAACGCACTCCAATCGGCAGTGTACGTCGGGAGCAAGGAATAGAACCTCTCAGCTGATGGGTCAATAGCTCATTCGAATCTTTATATAGTAATATGGCAAGTCAAATCTGTTTATAAAATATAATATTTAGAAAACATATGGTAACATACAAATCACGATGAATGAAGAATCTAAACGATATGCTGACAAAATTTTTGCACTCGTAAAATACCTAGTAGTAATGTACGACAAAGGGTATCTGTCTAGCGAATTAATAACATTTACAGTACACTCGGGGGGACAAATTGAAAGTTTGAGATGAAACAATAAAGTACATGAACAACGAATAAATGAGTAAAAGTAAGTAATCAACAACTGTCACTTGAACTAATCGTCGTTCTGCGACCGATGATCACGTTGTATATGAACAGATCTACGCCTCGACTTAGGAAGTTAGAAAAATGCAACAAAATGTGTCATGACGATGATGATGACGGATTACGGTAACAATCTCATTCTATATACACAGGCTAGTGTTTGACTAGAGAATAGCAGGGAAAAAGTGAATCAGATAGATGCTAGGAAAGAAACCTGTGAACTTCCAACGAGCACATCTCTTGCTCGCCAAGTAACGACCAAGGTACAGAAACAACGCGTGCAGCAGAGAAAAAATCGCATGAAAGTAAACAAGTCGCGTCGCAGCCGCTCGCGTCCCAGACCTGTATACTAAGACTAGGCTTCCTGGACAAACGAGAACTACGGATCTAAACGCTCTAATTTCATACGATCTATATCGAATCGACAAAACGAGAGAAAGCTTTAGACATACTCGACTGGCAAACATAGGCATTTGAAGAGAAAATAAATTACAGAAAAATAACTTTACGATGTTCTTGCAGAGTCAAAGGGAAAACTTTGAGGCAGTCGGTAGTCCACAGATCAACGTATGTAATCAGATCCACGAGTTTCACGAATCGTTCCCGCTGCTGGTACACGATAGTTCATCATCGTATCCGGTGGAACCATCCCCAAACTGTTAGGGCGATTTGCTTGGGCTGGCCGTAGTCGCGTTGCTCTTCCGGATCAGCGGTCTCAAACCGCCGCCTGTTCTTAAAAAATGTATTAAAGCAAAAATGTCACAAATCATTGAATAGGTAGGTGGGTGACATGAGAGAAAAAAAGGACAAAAAGCAGGCACATATGAATATCGAGCTTTGAACTTTGAAACTCCTTAGCTTATGCAAAATCCTCATCTCCTGTTCCACAATCACCGCTACATCAAAACGGCCAACCTTACTGGTGCAGTGCCGAATCTGCACCTCAGTCCACTTCAGCAACTGTCATAAGAAATTTGTTGGCAGGATTGCTTCGTGCTCTTGGCTCCTTCCTTGTTACCTTATCACAGAGGCTGAGGAAACCAATTAACCCGTGGCTCACCTGGAAAATTACCTGCACACACAAAGCAACGACAGGAACGTCTTTGTTCTCTGACGTAGGAGCAGGCCATGCCAACAACACCGTTGAAGCATTCGGCATTAAAAGGCTGTTTGGCACCGATGAAATCTCCAAGACGAGTAGGACTTCATCACTCCCGGCAGGCAACGAAATTTATCGACCCTGGCAGGCCGCCGCGACTGTCTTTTCACGAAGGTACCCTTAAATCAAGGTGGCTTATCAAGGCTATAAGCATACCGACCCGAACGCCCACCACGCCCGAACGCGCCGCCCACCAAATGGACGCCTGCAGTAACCTGCATCGATCCGCTGTGTTCAGCTGCGATAGTCAAATATAAGTCGAAGGGCATTCGAATAGCGACTGCCGCTGCTGCATGGATATATACAGTATACTCGAAATCCCTGAGATCGGGTAGGCGTGGCCGCATGTTTCAACCTAACCTGAAGGTGTCTATGCTTCTGGTGAGATATTTTCATCTTGACACAACCTGTTGTCCGTGTCTCTGTCCACCACACGAACAAGATGACAGTTGCCCACGGCGGAACTATTCATCACGGGTAACCAGTTCCGTGCATGCTTCAAATGCCCACGCCCCTACTCTGCGCTCAGGATAAGAGGTACACACGCGCGGCCCGTACCTACCGTAGCGGTGTTTGGCACATGTGCGTAACGGGAATAGCTCCGTCAAACTGCTTTTCCTGAGTCATTCTGGAACTAACGCTTGCCATCGCAATTTTGCACATCTTCACGATTCGTCTTTTTCGCCAGCTTTAATCAACTACATACTGCAACCCTGCTACACTAAGACCGCGTACGCCAAATTATCGCTGCTAACTACCTAATGTATTATTGACTTGATCCTTGAAAGTCCTTCGGTTAATCGCAAGCCTAAAATTGTATTTCTGCACAGCAAACGGAAAAAAAACCCGCTAGTCATTTGAAATTATGCTTTCAACGTGTCCATCCCATGGTCTTTTGGCCCAACGAGTGGCTCAGATCGTAGATGTCCCTCGTTGCAGACGTGCTGGCTGGGGCTGTCGAAGAATGTTTAGTGTGCTTCGACGTCTGCCGTGGGTTATTGAATCTTTTGGACCGTGGCGCGTAAGAGTGTGCGGTGGTACAAGTTCGAGAATAGGTGGTAGTCAGAGGGTGCAATGTCTGGAGAGTATGGTGGGTGGAGAAGGGCAGTCCAGCCATACGTCGAAAGTTCAATTTTCGTCGACCTTGCTCTAACGCTCTGATACACTCTAACCAAGTGCACAGCAATCACTTCTTCCATGAGGTTAGCTTTTCGTCACGGCGGGCTATGATGTTAGAGCTATATACCACTTTGTCATGTCTCACCTGAGTAGAGGGTGAGAAGAGAAAGTGTCGTGTCGACCCTCCGATCCTGTCCCTCTGTGATAATGCATGTGGTACCCCTCAGCAAAATTTTTGAACCTTTCCTATTGACTTCAATCTACGGCCACCGTCGGTTGGCAAAAGTTAAGCTTGACGGACAGCTTCCTTTTGTACCATCACGTCCACCTGCTCCCGTAATACGTCCACACCCATAGTCGTTGGCCGCTATGTCCTTTCGTCATCTTCGATAGAATACTCGCCTTTCTTGAACTTGGCGAACCAAGAATGGACGGTGCTGCGAGCGGGAGCATTCTCCTTATAAACATCCTGCAGGCGGAGGTGGGACTCGAAGGCCAGAAAAGAACAGGAACAACATGACGTTGCGGCGATGGTGTTCAGAGGACGTGAATTCAGGCGGCATATTAGACGCAAACCACCACGTTTTAGACTGGTTTTGAAGACCGTTTTTTTCCTCTATCGAACGGCTCTTCGAACTGCCTGGGAGACCTAAGAGGCGGGATAAACCTTTCTAAATGAGGACATCCACAAATGTCCGAGAACTTTGAATCAACTTAATATTATGGTTAAGGGAGAGGGATGGAGAGTTTGGAACAACTCAGCCTCTGTGGTTCTTCCCCTATCGAAGGCTTATGCTAAGAGCGCAGACGACCGGAGTTGTAAAGGAATGCAGGGAAGACGTGGTCTACTAAGCCAAATTTTAGCTTCGGAAGCTATTGCAAATGAGCATAGCCTGTGTAAAGTACGAAGTTACATCTGTTAGAGAAGAATAGGGACTTATGCATTCCGGGACAGAACTGCCGAGTGGCCCTATCGTTGCCTTGCCCTCTTCGCCGATAACTTAGCGCTAAAGCATCCACATTACGTTGGGTACCAGTCGCAACCAGTCGGAGTGGAGTCAGCAGGCATGGACTGGGGCCAACGGCTCTTTCTACCATTGGTTATTTTCTTTCTGGATCGATCACATTTGGTAGAGAACGTGGCTAGACTGGGCTCATTCCACTCCCTCAGATGCCGGCCCGATTGATTGCGACGGTATGAGTTATAGCTCTATCATGAGGAAAAACGGCACTAGAACTTTCTAACCAGCATCTTCTTGGGACTAGAAAATATTCAAAGCGAAGGGCTAGCAGAGTATAACAGTACCATCTTCATCATTTAGCACGGTGTTGCAATCGATTTCGCTCTTTCGATGCGCGCGACTGCGACTCTATCCTCTTGCCCGTCCACTGTCCAGCCTCTCGACCGCGCATTCAGTGTTTCGTCACCTGTCGCTTCCTAGAATGGTCATCCCTTCGCCTACGGGCGGAGACACAAACGGCTATCAGCTATCACTATCCCGTGTACGCATGTCTTTCGAATTACTTTACACCATGCTAGAAAACGTCTGAAGGCACAGAGGCACCGCTTTTGGGAAAATTAATTATCTGCATAGCGGGTATCCACATACAGTTTCGTTCGCTGCCGGATGCTGGAGGGTTTAGCGGGGGGGGGGGGGGGGACTTCTGGTTTGACATGGCGCCAGCACGCTTACCACCAACTGTTGTCGCCTTGTCCTCTTCAGCAATTAGAGGAGAACGGGATAGCGCTGCGCGAAACCCAACACCATGACCGCCCCAGCCAGGGCACGCCATCGCGTTGTGATCATTTCCCGAGAAATACGACCCCCCTACTCTATCCCCAACGCGACCCCCCGCGACCCCCCATCTCCCCATGCTACCTCCCACTTTCCTAGATTTTCCCAACTTCCTACCACTTTTTCCATTTTTTCCCGAAAAATTTCTAGTTTTTCAGCCAGAATTTTGCTGTCGAGCGGGGGGGACGGGGGACAGGGAAGGAGGAGGAGGTCGTCAGGACTTAACTATCATTTTCAGCTATATAGGAAATGAGTAGTTGTATAGGGCGCAGTTTGTCGGACGGGGGGGGGCATTTTGCTTTCCATAGATGTGTCGACCCATCTAGGCAGCCGTTTCTCGAGTTGACACGTTTTAGGATAGTGGCTAGACGATCTTACTTCAGCTTCACAAGAGTTCACAAGTTTTACCAGAGTGAGATCAACAGCCGACACGACTCCCCCCCCGTCGTGATCATCCACAACGCTGGCCGTGGCCCCTGGCCCCAGCATCCACAGTAAAAAAAGACTATCTATCTATCGTGTTGTCACACAGCCCCCGTCAAAGTATCAGTGGTTGGTAAGGGAGGCCAAAGAAAGGAATAGCAATACCGTGTGTCAACAGGTGATCAGACAGTAAAGTGTAGAAGCATTTAGCATTCAGCACACGAATCGTATGTGTATGTCTGTTTTAGTTTAGATCAGCGCCAAAAAGACTGGCCGATAGTTCGAACACCTGCTAAGAAAAGGTCCAACTACCTTTTGGAAGCTTTATCAATAGCTTCTTTCTCCGCACTTTGTCGCTTTAACCCTCGTCTCTTCATCAACGGTGCCGCTTCTACATCCATCAGGTGGAAGCCATCACGATTCGCAGTCAGGAAGGCTTGCAGGGTCTCGTTGAATGTTTCGCCTTGAAAATGATAACAAAATTTACTAGACCTTTTTCTTGAAAAGTGATCATATTCGTCAAGAGTTAGTCAACTGAACAACCATCAATATTTCATAAGGATCGTACCAGCAAATGATGGCAAAACGTTAGGCGTTTGTAGGGGAGTCTCCAGAGAAGACGACGAGTTCAACCACGCATGTCGCGATAATTCTTGCATGGATAACCGTTTCTTCGGATCCACAGTTAATAATCCTGGAATGGAATTGTGTCATCAAAACAAATTAAAAACAGGTAAAAGGACAAGGATATCAGAGCCGTAGTGGCATATTGAATGCGATGCAGCCTATACGATGACTTGCGGGCCAAGCCAATCACAAGTCAGTGTTCTTATGCTCCAAGACGAATCTGTTACCGTTTGCCATTCGTAGAGGGTGGAAACTTGGTTAGCTTGGGGAGGAGCTTTCTGGGATTAGACCCCGGACCGGAGGCGTGGTAAGCGCCACTTGTAACTATACCACCTCCGCCTCTACGCATAGATGCAATGCACTATAAAAGACCCATATTGCACTTGAGACATACCATGGCCTTAGAAAAATTTCTCTTCGAAGGTGGGAAGGGAGAAGGAGAAAAGCATCCCACCAACTACCAGATATAGTAAATCTGCGATGTTACCAACAAAGATGGAGAGGGACAGGTTACAGTTGCTATCGTCACAATCAGTCGGGGCAATGTCAGAGGGAGGGGTGGAGGTGACATGAGCTCATATCGGCTTTCGGCACTATTTACCCTTTACTGCCCCAACCATCCAGAATTGAGCCAGTTTTTGACCGACTTTTTTCTCCGTGGACAGATTTGGCTCAAATGTTGTCTCCTGGGGTAGTTTGACCCTAGAATACGAATATCACATTCGCTCAGCCCGAAACTTCCTGGCGCCCGCGCCACAGGCGCCGGTGATTTGGGGTATTTTGGCGCCAGCGCCTGTAGCGCGGGCGCCAGGTTTCGGCCGAGCGGATGTGATATTCGTGTTCAGGAGGTCAGACTACCCCTGGAACAAGTTTTCAGCGAATTTGGTGATTTAGGGTATTTTGGCGCCGGCGCCTGTGGCGCGGGCGCCATGAGGTTTCGTGCCGAGCGGATGTGATATTCATGTTCAGGAGGTCAAACTACCCCAGGGAACAAATTTTTAGCCAATTTTGCCAACGCAGAAAAAAGTCGGTCAAAAACTGGCCTGTTTTTGGAAGATTGGGGCAGTGAAGGGTAAATAGTGCCCGGGTTTCTTTTCTACCGATAGTGATCGCTCAGTGAACGGTCCAGGAAGCAAAGAAGCAATGGTAGAAAACACCGCGGGTGGACCATACGTACTACGCTTCCTGAACGGAGACGGTCAAGACAATCGCAGTTTTCCGCTGCGTCGGGCGCGGCGTTTTCTTAATTTGCACTAGCCTGTCAATTGGAGCACCGGTTTCACGAAGACTACCACAATTGTAGGCATTTGTGGCCATTTCTTGTTATATACCATTTTCACTTTAAATCGGACACTTTTCAAACCAAATCGGACACTTTTCAAATCAAATCGGACACTTTTCAAATCAAATCGGACACTTTTCAAATCAA